TGGAATATCCTGCTGTTCTGATGGGATGAAAAACATTGTTTTATGGCACTTCCATCCTGTTACATGGGGAGAGATGACACATGCTCAGTGTCCCAAAGATCCCGTGGCAGGGAAGGGGCAGAAACTGGTGTCTCATGGCCTCCTTTCCCTTTTTCTGAGTCGCTCAGCAACTGTTTTATTTCCTTTGAAAACAGGAAACAAGGCAGTGAAGATAACCTGAAATGCAACGACTTGCCCAACGTGGGAGAGGAGGAACTTCTTTCTTGAACGTGGACTTTAAGGTTCTGTTGAGCAGCTCAATCCAGGGCACGTCACCAAGCGTGCGCTGGGGACGAGGTGACCAGAGCCCAGAGCAAACACAGCATGACATGGCGCTATCTCAGTACAATGCTGGATGTAGAGCTCACATAGCAGCATGTTACCACACCTTATCAGACATCTGATTATTTGCCATAAACATGGAGCATCTCCGAGCACTTGGACTGCTGAATTCTGGTGGGAGAGGCGCTGGCGGACAGCGGAGAGGTGAGCGGTGGTGGTGAGCAGCAACAGGGCTTTGCAAAACAAAACCCACAGCAGCCAAAGGAAAATGCATTTTGAACTGCTTTTAGCTGGCTTTAATGCCAAATAATTTGCAGGGACTGACGCCAGCGTCCCAGGGGCATGATGCCCATGGTGTGGCTGTGGGCACATGCAGAAGGGTGAAGCTTTAGCCAAGTGGCATACACAGCAGTAAAACCAACCACACGTGTGCACTTTGAGAGTTCACGACCTACCAGGAATGTTGTTGCATCTATTTCTTGTTGTTCTGGTTTGTTTTTAATTGACACCTTTTTAACTGCATGGGAACAAAACAAAAACCCACCTGCTCAGCTTTTTAAAGAATGCCTACCTTTGTGAGCCAAGTTGTATGAAACAGCATCTTCAGGAAGTTCAAAAAGTGAGGTTAATTACCTCCTCAGGTAATTAACACCTTTCCAGAGGCCTTGGTGTGACCAGAACTTGGTAAGTTAGGTATTCAGTGTATGAAAGGAAAAGGTATTTAAGGGCTTAAGTTCAGTTTGAACTATTTTTGCTGCAGACATACGAGTGAAAGGTGGTGTTTAGAATGTTTTAAACAGAAGAAGCACTAATAGTTTGTTTCTAAATATTTTACTTGATCTAGGTAGATATACTATAAACTATAAAATTCAGGGTAAAATCCTTCACTTCCATGTACATTACATGGTTTACTACAATTAAAAATAATACAACTTATGCTGGTTTTTAAGTATAGACTTAGGGCTTGCTTAGAATTTAAGATCGTAATGATTAGCTAGGAATTTTCAAAGAAACGTTTGTTTTCCAAACTCTTAATCTGGATTCTGGGGCCAATGCTATGTATTTTTTGCAAGTTTGTTACCAGTACTTTGTGAATGCCTGTGGATCAGAGGCTTGTTAGTAAATTAAGTGTATATCTAGTTAATGAATTGTTTCTTATGAAGAGCTCTTTCACCTTCAGTCAGATTACTCTGATTATTTGTGGTGCTTGTACAAAGTAATAATCTGCCATGTGGTGGGAGAGACTCTGGCGTCCAGACTCACTTTCCCAAGTTCTCTATGCTCGGACAAAGCTGGAGAATGAGGAGCCAGGGTTTGCCTGAGGAAAGGGGGTCACGGTAAGTACAGTTGTTTTGTGGATGGAGCATGGGACTAGGGGGGAAAAGGTCTGATTTTTTTCCTTTCTCAGTCTGATGTGGTTGTGTGACCTTGAACGAGGCATTTGATGTACCTGACAGAGGAGGAGGATTTGAGTCTCCCAAGCTTGTGAGGGACTGATAAGGTGTAATTCTTTGCCCTCAGGAAGAAGGCACTAGGAGACTGCCAAATGTCTTGTTTAATGGTAAGGTCTCTGCCTGTTAACCCTGGCCATGGATGCCCTGCCTTTAGAAAGTGACCGTTCCCTTGTCTTCCTTTATTTTATCCTGGACAGCACAAGCAGCAGTGTGCTGAGGTCCTTGGCCCCACTGCAGTCAGACCTGGCCTGGTAATTCCCAGTTAAGACTGGTTTTTGTTAAAGCCAGGACAGCATTAGCAAGGGTGCAGATGCCTACCCAAACTGTCCCTTAAACCTTTGATCACTTGAAGCAATGTTCCCCCTAAATTGCAATTTATTATGGAAGTATTGTGCTGCTGGCCTCTTTCCAAAGCCAGTGAGGACAGTTGGTGGTTTAGGAGCAATACTATGGAGTTTGGAGCCATAAGACACGCACTGTTTTCCTCCCATTTTAGTCCGAGGCTATGCCAAAGCCCTGCAGCTTCAGCTATGGGAAAACCAAACAGGTAACTTGGGGGCCAGCACTACTGCAGCTGCCTGCTCCCCCTACACAGGACTTTTCATTGTGGAAGTGTGTTTGAGTGGGCAGCCTGGTTCTCTAACCCTGCAAATGGACTTGATCTGCCAAAAAAAATGTAAAAAGCTAGGGGATCCAATTCTTTGTAGGTAGTGCATAGTAGTGTGTGTGTTTGCTAGAGGTGTGTTGTAGAGATCTCTGTGCTGCCCATCCCTGGTTGTGATTTGTCAGGTGAGACAGTTTACATTGACCCAACAGGTCTGCCCGGTGTGACGCAGCTTCTCAACAGCTGTACCAGCTCCCTGATGCCCAGCCAGTCTCTGGGCCTCACATACTCCCACTGATCATTGTCTCCCTGCCTGCATGGGCTTGGTTAAAGGATGCTAAACTCAGCACTTCCCCAAGGTGCTCTCCAAGCCGAGTGTCCCTCAGTGCAGGCTCTGCTGGGGCTGCAGCCGAATGCACATTTCGGAAGGAAACACAATGTGGATTTTTCTGGTTGGTCAGCTCTGTTGAAAGCATAAAGCGTGGCCATATGAGGGAGATCTCTCTAAATGCATGACCTGTTAGAGAAGCTGTACTGTGTATATAAACCTGCTCAGTTCCCCAGCTGCTGTTCCTTAGTAGTAATGCTGGCTTTCTCCTTATAGTGAAGTGAACATTTTGCTTGTGCCTTGGAACTGGGCGATAGCTTGATTTCCCCAACTCTCCCTTCCTTCCAAGCAAGCCCGGTGCTGACTGTGGGCTTATTGCTGGGTACTAAGCCTTTCTGGTTCTGAAAGCACACAGGAAAGTGCTAAGGGGAAACCAGGCCTCTTATCTGAGTAGTTTTCCATGGTGGTCCCCTCTTACCTATCAGGCAATTGATCTGTTTCTTTTCTAAGGTCCTGAACTATTCCTGATTTTTATACTGTTTGTTTAATGACCAAGGCTTGTGTTTCATTCCTACCCCTTTATTATGCATTTAACTTTATCAGGTGTATCAAGTTTAAATACTGTGTATTTATCACTTTTAAATTATATTACCTAAGAAGAAAGAATAAACCAACAACTAAGTGTTTTTCCACACAGGTGTTCAAGCTTCACTGTACAAGTTGAAATAAATGACATGCAACCAAACCCAGAGTTAGCTGATCAAGTGGAACCATTATTCTGTTTCAGTGGTCTTTATTAAGCTGTGAGAGTTTGGTTGTTGGAAGAGGAATCTGAAAGCACTCTCCTATGTTAGTGAAGTCTGGTGCTGTACCATTACTGGGGATCTTGGGCCAGGATGGGAGCACAGTAGCTCAAGCACTGTGTAATCCAAACTGAGCATTCACATGCACAGACTGGAGTCCTCTTGCAAGGGCACTCTTTGAGCTGGGACACAACTTAGTGCTCAAAAGCAGCAGGCACATAAAGAACAAAACAAAATGATAATGCTGTGGTTTACCCACCGTGCTGCTGGAGAAAGGCAGCCAGGATGCTGGGGGTATGGAATAGATCCTAGGGCTTGGTAACACCAGAAAAGGTTCAGAGAAAGGAAAGACCTGGACTTTGTGAGTCAGTGTGATCACTAGAGGTGCTCAAAGCCATGTTGAATATAAAAGCCAACATATCCACTTCAATCAAATGGTGTAAACTGCATTAAATGCAGCAGCCCAGACACAGGGCTGGTGTGGTGGTGAAAAGCACAGGAGATGTGCCAGGGAATAACAGATCTGTTCTTCCAAGCAGTTGGTACCTGCACTCAGATAAAGACCCTGAGATCTTGACCTCTGACTTACAAGTCTTTTCCCTTGGAGAGGGTTTAAGGCAGCAGACATGGACAAGGTGTCAGGAGAATCAAGGCAGAGCAGCTGTGGTTGCAGCAGCACTTCTGCTGAGAGAATGAAGAGGCAAAACCCACAGAGCCCTGGCTTTGATAGCCTTCCACTAACACTTGGTATGCGGGGAGAAATGAACAATCAAAACCCAGCTTGCAGAACTTCAAGAGGACTGAGGGAAGGTAGTATTTTATTAAAGTAAATTTTAAAGTAATAGCATAAAAATTAGACAAAACAGAAGAAAAGTTCTGTAACCAGTAAGCCATTTATCATAGCACAATGGAGCTAGACTCTGCTTTATCTTGGTCTGTGGCCAAGGTAAGAGCTTGAAGACCCCAAGTAAATTATAGGTACCGGCTCAGCTAATGTTCACAATCCTTCAGGGAAAGAAAAGTGACAACAGCAAGGAGCTGCTGTCCCAAGGTTAGGTACCTTCTGGCAGTGGCCATGTTCAATCTAAGGAAGAATCTGTGCCTATTGTCCTGTGCCCTCTGCTATCAGTGAGTTCAGGGACAGAAGGACTGGCAAAATGATGATTCTAGAGCTGTCTCTGTCCCAGGTTCAGCCACTGTAGAGGTCTGGCACAAAGTACAATTTTCCCTCTGTGTTTAGTGCAAATAACCTGGAAAGACAGCAGACAAGGAGGAGACCCAGTTCTTCTCCCTGGGACTGGCTCCCAAGTAGCAAAGAGTAGTGAAGATTGTCCCTTTCTCAGTTTCGTTCCCCACTTCCTCCCAGCAAAGAGGGGGTGGTCTCATGGCAGGGTCAAGAAAAGTTCCCAGCAGCTGTTTAGAGCAGCAGTTGGTCCTGCAGCACCAGGAGCTCAGGAGTCTGTTCCATATGTCTCACCAACTCCCTGCAAGGATCAGAGATTACAGTTCTCTGCCAGAAACTCTTCTTTCTTCCCCTTCCAATCACATAAAATCCTTTGCCCAGGCAAGCTACTTCCTGTTACTCAGACTTTTCCAGTGACACAAGGTGTTTTGATTGAGAAATCTGCCCTCTGCAGCCACAATTCCTACCAAGCACAGGGCTGTAGGGCTGAGCTCTGTCCTCAGCACCAGTCAAGCAACCAACTAAATCCTACTGACCAAACAGATCATTTCATCCCTGGAGGGAGCTGTAACTGTAACTGCAGCACACTGGTCTCAGAAAATACCAACCCACTGAATGATTTTTCTCACAACTGCAGGAACCTCAAAAGTCAAGAAGGAAGGATTTGATGGGAACAGGGCTGTTCCCTACAGCTCTTAGAAGGCAAAAGCTAATGACTGCAACCCAAAAAGGAGGTGCAGTAGGAGCACAACAAGTTCTTGAACATATATTTTCTTCTCCAAGAGTGGTTACCCAGGAAACCTGACAATATTTGTTTCTAGTGCTCTTCCCTGCAGCAGCTTTGAGGTAAAAATTAGCTTCTCTGACGAAGACAAAGTTTCCTTAGAACTGTGGTTCAAAATCCCTATTTGATGTGGACTTTCTACATCCTGTTTCAGAATCTCTGTGGAGTCAGAGGAGGAAGCAATTCTGCCTTTACCCTGCCTTCCTTGATGCTTACCAGTTCATAATCCTCCACATATTTGTACTTCTTCTCCCGATAGTAGTATCTCTTCTTCATGCAATACAGAACAACAACATCACACAGCACTGTTGCCTAGTGGAGATTGAAAGGGTTTAAGACAGGAATCCTCAGAACTGAGGCACTAATCCAGAATCGAGTCCAAGTGCAGACAGTGTCACTTACCACACCAAAGAGCGCTAAGCCAGAGCCGATGTTAATCATGGTAGGAATTACATCAAATTTTCCTGCCTAGAAGACAGTTACAAGCCTGAGCATGCTTTTCAGCATCTCTGAAAGGCCTCACTACAAAACCTCCAGGAACTGTCACCCTACCTTTCCAAACACTATGATATCAAAGCGGATGCCATAAGCTTTGACAAGCGTCCGTGATTCAGTGCCATCACTATTCTTGTAGTATTTTGCAAACCTGCAGAAAAGATAGGTCAGAGCTTAACTGGAAATTTTGAGGTTGCTTATGTGATCATGCAACATCCAGGTGTGTTCCTCATCCCAAGAGAATGAGCTGAACATTGGTACTTCTAGACACAAGCCCCAAGTGATGGTAGATTTCATGCTGGCAAGCTCATATAGGAGAAAAGCCCAAAGCAGGTGAATTCATGACATCAGTGAGCATCATAAAACGAGGAAATTTGCAAGGCATAGGAAGGGGAGAAAGCAGCTTTAGCAGGGGAGCAGGACTAACAGGAAGAAAGTCAGCTACACGGGAGTCAGGCATGGGCTGCAGGGGACCAGGCAGCCGCGAGAGGGCAGGGCCGGGAGCACCCGCGCTGCCCGGCACACAAAGGCTGCTCCGGCACTGGGTGACAACAGGCAAACGACAGAGAAAAGGGATGAGAACAAATAAGTGAGATCAGACTTACTCTGCCACGTGGTTGACTAAGCCAGGAGGAAGCAAAGAAGAGGGTGGAAAAGAAAAAGAAGGAATGGTAAGGGGCTGTACCAGAGTCTGAAATTAGCAAAAGCATTTCAGATCCAGCTGTGATATCTTCCAGATGGTCCAGACACCCCGATACCTGCTGGCCTGGCACCTCCCAAACACACATTTGTGCTCTGCACAGCTCCTCAGCAAATTCATCCAAGTTCCACCCAAAGATCCTCTGTCTGAAGCGAGATTTTGTGATTCTAGAAATAACAGCCCTGAGCTGTTTCCTCACAAGCTTTTTTTTCCCTGAGCTTGTGTTTCCTCACATGCAGGAATCCTGCAAGGACCTTGGCAAGGTGGACAATCTGTATTTAATATTGCAGACTGAGTCTGGATGCAACCAGCTGCCAGCTCTGTGCTGGTGTTTTACTGGAAGTGCTGGACTTAGCTGTACTGGCCAGAATGTGTATGTGGTGGTGTAAGCCAGGATACTCCTGATGCATATATGGTCTCCAATATGCAGACAGAGACACTTTTACAGGTTAGTTTTTCCTCCAGGCAGAGTGAAGGACATGCTTCAGTCTCCCAACCCCACCTCAGTCCCCTCAAATTCTGCCCTATCAGCACACTCTGAGACAGTCAGTTGTCCCACTGCCACCCCATTGATCAAACAGCCACCAAAAAAACTGACGGAAACATGACTCAGGCACTCTGACGCAACCAGTGGAGCTTCACTGATCTCCCCCTCTGCTGTGGTTTGCACACAGTGAGGATCCCACCTGCTGTCTTACAGCAGCAAAAGAGCTCTCCAGGTTTTCTTTTGTTGCTCTCCAAGCACCATCAAAAGCCCCGAACTACCACAAGTGCCAGTGGCAGATGGAGCTGAGGCACCAGGTGCCTCCACAGCTGCATTACCTGAAGTTGTAGCCGGGTGAGACGGTGTGGGCAGAGTCCTTGTTGTCGAGGCGCCGGAAGGAATATTTTGGCACACAGTGGGAAGCAGCTCTGTCCAGGTTGCAGTCCCAGTTGATCTGCAGTGCCATGACTCCACCCTGCCAAGGGGAGGAGAGGAGGTGATGGGCAGTCCAAAGTGCATGGCCAGCCCAGCACCAGGCTCTCTGCTGACCAGGACCTGATTTACTGGCTCTAATCCAGGCTCTGTCCAACACTCTTTTCTGGTGCTACAGAACCTTGCACATAACCCCACCCAAACAAAGCAAGGCCAATTATTGGTTAAATAGAATTCAGTCGCTCTGGCCAGAGCACTCTCCATCCTGCAGCTGATCTGTGTTCTGTGGCTCATGCCATGAGGCAGAGGAGACAACCCCCTACCACTCCTCTTCTAAAAACAGCTGAAGCCCAAGAGAAGGGTCTGCCAATTACCTCCACAGCCATTTCCTGGAAGTCCTGCCCTGCAGCTTCAACTATTTTCCCTAAACGGAAGATAGGGCAGAAGGGATCAGTCTGGGCATCATAGATGCAGTTCTTGAGGTATGTGGAGTTGATAGTGGGGAGGATGTTTCGCCTACAGGAGAACACAAAGAGAAGAGTTGTTGTATCCCCTTTACTGCCAGGAGACCAGACAGTGTGATAACCCTCTCCCTATTTACTTGCTGAAGTTGAACTTGCGGTACCAAATGTTGTTCTTCACCAGAAGGGTGAAGTTCTCAGCTTCTTGCAGGAACGCTGGCCTACAAAACAAAAGGGAAGCACAAACAGGACTCTGCAGAGTTCTTGTTGCTCATTTCTTCAGCTTTTCCCAAGAGCATGTCAGCGGGAGAAGCATCAGCTGTGTACCAGCTGCTCTCAGGTAGGGGCACTGTGGAGTAGGAAGACAGAGCACTCACTTGGGTATGTGATAGTCATCCTCCACGGGGCACCACGCAAAGACTTCACAGGTCTTAATGCTGCTGTTGTATGGAACACACTCCCCAGTCTGGATGCCTGGAAACACATGCATGGAGGTACTACTGAGCAAAACCAGGCAGTGTTTGACCTGTGACACTCCATATGGTGAAAGCAATTTTCCCAGAGGTCAAGTGCCACTACCAAAACCCACATAATCTTCCATTGCAAGTGTAATTTCAGAGAAAGAAGAATCAGGTCCTTTTCCTGAGTCAAATCTTCATCCATGTGATACTGCTTCAGGTACTGAAAGTCATGAAAAAGCTTCACACTGTTTGCTAACTCACCAAGACATCTACCCAGCATCCACCCAACACAGTCTAAGTTCATCTGGTCTAAGTCCACCAGAAGAAAAAAATCTGAGCTTCCACTTCAGTTCTCTTGAGAGAAGGAGAAAAAGGAGACTGAAGTGAAATGGTGCTTCCTTCACAGCAGGGAAGACACAGCACAGAGGCACCACAACCCAGACTGAAAGGAGCTTTTGTAGCAGGTTTCTTACCACTGCTGTAGGTGCTGACATATCCTGGAACACAGTTGTTCTTCACCTCGCACTTTGTTTGATCATCTGGGAGCTGGAGAGGAACAGCAGTTACATAAAACTCTGAGAACCCTCTCCCCCTCCCACCCACACAAGGCAGGATTAAAGCAGATTCTGCACCTACCTCCGGGCAGCGGCCTTGGCTCTGGTTCAGTGTGAGGATCACATTGGTCATGACAAACACAGTGTTCTCACCCTGAGCATGCAAAACAAGAAGGAAACTTAAGGGTGACAATCTGCAAAGAGCATCCAAGGCACTGCACCAAACATCTTTGTTGACAGAGCCCAGGTGGCCCAGCAGAGGGGATTTGCCCTGGACACTGCTGGTGCAGTGCTAAAGGAGCAGATTCCTACGTGTGTTGCCTGGTGCTGCTGTGTTTAGCCACAGGAAGGACTGTGGGACTGGCAGTTCCTTCTGTCCTCCCACTCGGCCCAAAGTTCCTCATTCACATTATGAAAACAGAGCTCACACAGCTCCTCAGGGGAGTCGTAAGGCAGACACAGAAATAGAGCTCCAGCTGCAAGTCCGAGTGCAACTCCCACTCTTTCTTTTTGCAGTCTATCAGTTAGGAATTTGCCTGGTCCTGTTTCTTCAGGGAGCACTATTGTCATTACTTTACTTTCACTACTTTCAGATCTGTATGACTCCAGATCTGTCATCTGCTTCCGCTCCACTGATACGCAAATATGACCACTCAGCCAAAATCTGGCTAAATTTGTCTTTTTTTCTGCACCACATGTCATGCAGACAGAGGCACCCATGACCAGCAGCTTGGCTGTGCCTGCCCAGCCTGAAGGCCACCACATATGGCCCACACAGCACAGATTCCCAGAGATACAGTCAATCAGTAACTACAGCAATGCTTCCTGTTCAGTTCTGCATCAGGTGACTGCCAGGCTGTTCCTGTGGCTTCTGCCAACAACTTAACTTGGGGTTGTTTGCTTTAGAAAGCAGTAAGAAAGATGACAGGTCATTATTGTTGCAGCCTGCAAAGTCCTCCTCTAGCAGGACCGGTGCTGTTGCAAGTCTTTGTGGGCACCATGGACAGTGGGATCAGCGCACCCTCAGAGAAGGAAAGTTCAAGGAGAACTTAGAGCCCATTTGAGTACCCAAAGGGGGTTTATAAAACAGAGGGAGGGGGGCTTTTTACACAGGCAGATAGTGATAGGGTAAAGGGGAACAGTTTTAAACTAAAAGAGAAGCGATTTGGATTAGATATTAGAATTCTTCACTCTGGCACAGGATGCCCAGAGAGGCTGTGGCTGCCCCTGGATCCCTGGAAGTGTTCAAGGCCAGGATGAGCAGGGCTTGGAGTAACATGGGATAGTGACCCTGCCCACAGCAGAAGGGTGGAACAAGGTTATCTTGGATGCTTCCAAATCCAAACTGTTCTATGATTCTACACAAGCACACACACAGACACACTTTCCTTGGAACAAGTATCCCCAGGACAGGTGCTTAGCATGATCTGCAATAAAGCCAAGCTGCTCCAGCTCTCAATGGACTTTTGCAAAGTAGTAAGTTTCTTACTGCTTGTAAGAAAACCTTTTTTTCTGCTTGTGAAAGTGATTAATACCTGAGGAGGGATGACATAGTCAGCTACATCCCAGACCCTGGCTCCCAAGGTGGATGTGTTTGTCAGTGTTACACCCTTCACCTTCGTGGTTACAGAACTGACCACAGAGTCTGTTTCCTGGTAGCCCTTTTCCCACAGAAAAACCCACCTGAAAGAGAAGGATTGCAAGAAACAATAAATAAACACCATAATCAAGTTCAGGTTGGTATTTCTCCTTTTTCAATATTACCTGAAAGGGCCATTCCAGACAGTTTCACAGCTTTTCCTTACAAAAGGGTCACAAGATTGGCAGTCTTCTGCCTTTTGGGGTGATATTTTTTACTTTCAGACTCGTTTGCAGGGTCTAATTTGCTTTTATGCCCAGCCCTGCTTGAGGGAACGACAATCACCTCCTGAGACGTCCCACGCCTGAGGGGCCCTTGGGCCATTCACTTAAAAGTTGGACCTGATCCTTGTGGGGTCCTTTCCAACTCAGAACATTCTGTGATTCTGCCCACAATCCCAGTTAAGCAGGGCCACCAAGTCCGTGTCGCCGTTCGGTGAGCTCCGGGCTCCCCTCAGCCCGCGCCGCCCTCACAGAACGGCTCCCGCGGCCCTGAGGGCCCCTGATCCTTGGGCGGCTCCCGCCCTCCGCCCTCCGCCCCGGGGCCCCCAGCGCGGAGCCGCCCGCTGCCCCTCAGGGCGGCCGGCCCGGACACCCCTCCGCCCGCTCACCCGATCACATAGGCGAGGATGCCGAGCTGCACCGCGCGGTTGACGAGCCCCACTTTGCGGCTCCGGATCAGCACGATGCGCGGGGTGTCGTACTCGAAGAGGAAGCTGTGGAAAGCCCCGCACAGCGCCATGGCGGCGGCCGGGGCGGGAAGGCGGCCGGGATGGAGCCGTCCCGGGCCGGGCCGCGGCTGCCGCAGCCCCACAGCGCCCCGAGCCGCCCGCCGGGCGCTCCCGCAGCCCCGCGGCCCGCAGCAAATTGCCCGAGGCCAGCGGAGGCAGCGGCACCGGCAGCCACGGACTTTTCACGGCTGTTTTCACAGAACCTATTAGGTTGGAAAACACTTCTGAGATCATCGAGGCGAAACTATGACCGAACACCACGTTGTCCAATAGACCAGAGCGCCGAGTGCCACGCCAGTCTTTACTTAAACACTTCCAGGCTCGGTGACTCCAACACCTCCCTGGGCGGCCCGTTGCAATATTTAATCACTCTTTCTGGGAATAAATTCTTCCTAATTCTTCCTAAACCTACCCTTTAACCTACCCTGGCACAGCTTAAATCAGTGCAAGGACCAAGCAACTGCCTGCAAAAGAGAGCAGAGCATATTGAAGACTGACACCTTTCCATCCACAGTGACCAAATTCTTTTTTATCCTCTTGCAGAATTAATCTTTGCTATGAAAGCAAAGTTCATGTAACCTCCACCTTGTTCTGAGATACCCAACACAGTCCTTATTGTAGAAACATCACTATAACCCTCATAAGAGCAGGGAAATCATCAGGAAGAGATGAAGTGAACTGACAATGTGGCAGTGGGAATTTCAGGCAGTACAAAACTATCAAGACCCTTTAGTTCAGCTATATATTAGTAAAATGCTTAATTTTTTTTACAAAACCAGCCAAAACAAAAGACCAAAAGAAGTAGGGAAATTATAGGAATATGAGTGAATATTCAGTGAAAGTTTCAAAAGAATTGGTTCATATGCTAGAACAGAAATGCATAAATACCTACAGTAGTGTTTTCCCACTCTAGATATATAAGATGCTGCCATATGAATATTAACACAATTAATGCATTTTTCGATTGGAGATATAAATACAAGTGGCATAATCTGCCAGCAATATGTCTTAAAATTTGTCTTAAAATGTATGTGGAAAATGGAAATGGCAAACTACTGGGTTAGCTCAGAAAGAACAAAGCTTAGTTGAAAGGAGTGCAGAACACACCTGTTACAATCCTTCTCACCTTGTTTCTACAAAAATAGAACATGTCTAAATAGAACAAAAATAGAGAACAGAAAAGGTGTTGGAGCACAGATTAATTTACCCTGAATTTGCTGCTCCTTGGATGTGCTCTGGCCTTACACATCATAGCACGAAGCTGCTCACACAAGGTCAGGGGGAGGAGGCAGAGGAGGCAAGGCCTGCTTGAAGCTAAGGGGAAACAGGAGGGCAAAGCCCCACATTTTAATTCCAGTAAGTATGAAAGAAATGCCCAAAAATATCACACAAAAATGGTAAAAGTACTTTTCATTGTAATTCCTTGGTTCAAGTGAGAAAGAACAATACAAAGAGAACCCACTGGGCTTTTCAGAAAATGCTTTTTGTCACTGGAATAATCTAAAATGAGCGTGTTTGATCTGCTTGGACCATGAGGCCTTCAGTGGTGAGTTACGAAACTCATTCCGTGGCCTCTTCCTGGAGCCTCACAATCCAGGGCTGCAGAAAGCTGACAAGGCTGGGGCAGAAAAGTGCTCAACACATTTTTTAAGTGATACATCTTTTGGGCTTCCTTCCTTCAGGGTCATGCATTGAGGTGACTTCTGGCTTTCTTCAGGGTGCAATCAGACAGCACCAGGTGCTGAGACCAATTTAGGTTGTGATGTGCTGCCCTTTTTACCTTCAGCAAGAGCTGCTCATGGTGCTTCCGAGTTGGTTGGCATTTGCCACAGCACCACTTTTGGCAGTCTGGGGAAGAGGCTCCTTGTGTAAGGGTTAGCCTCAGCTCATATTCTTCATCATGATGGTTCTCATGGAACTCACCAGTACACATCGGCTCAGATTCTTCATTTTCATGGTTCTCATGGAACTCATCAGTAAACATCAGCTCAGATTCTTAATTTTCATGGTCCTCTTTGGACTGGCTGGTGCAGCAGCTTGCCAGCAGCACAAAATTTCACCGGGTGGCTCTGCAACAATTCCCAACATAAATCAAAGAAAACAGCATTTGCTGCTTCATCCAACCACTGAGAGAATTTTCAGCAGGGATCCTCACCATTGGGCTCTGCACTTGACACAGCACAATGGGGATAATGAGGATGGATCAGCAGGTCTGGAGGAGGATTGTTTTTGTGTGTTGCCATCACCCACCCCAGCGAAATCGAATCGACACCTCACGAGTTGTTTCAACACCGACGCACTCCCGCGGGCACGTACCCACCACAGCAAAGCAGCAATTTTTAGTTGACTCAAGAAAACATATCCTCTGGTCACAGAGTGCCCAGGTTCTGATAGCTTTAAAATCATGTTATTCCAGACCAGCTCTGAACTCCTGAGCACACTTTAGCATTCTGGACATCAGCATCTTCCATTCTCTGATCAGTAGAGAGTGGCAAGAATCATGGGAGCCTTAACCAACTTCCAGTTTCTTACTCTATCAAACCCCTGACATTCCTGGTGCACAGCTCACATCAGCTTATGGATCAGTAGGCAGTCATGGAGCATGAAGCAAAGAGAGCCTTTAAATGTGACAATGAAAAGCTGGCAGTGCAGACAAAAATCATTACATTAAACTGAAAGACCTACTACACCACACAAAGACACCAATATCCAAGCTCTGATAATAACACCCATATGCCTTCTGTCTCAGACATGCTGGCAAGACCCAAAGTGCTGCATTGTTCTTGACTGGTATACTTGACTGATCTCTAAGCCCTGTTCACCTTCATTTAAATAAATAATTTGAATAGGAATTTGCTTAGCTGAAGGGTCAGTTCCAGGAGTGGCAGATACTCATAGATCCTTCTATCATTGCTATTCAAAATTTGTTCTACAGTTGGTTGCCTGTTCAAGTAGCAAAGAGGAAACTGTTTAAGAAGATATGCCAGGTGTAAAAGCCAGCAGCTCAGCCTTCTGCTTGCTACCATCTCCAGATATTCCGAAGATAGAGACACCTAAAGAAAAATTCATTTTCCTCCTTTCATTTTGGGTTCAGTCCCTGCTGCTCTGCTTTGCCATCTTGATGCCAACAAAGCAGTGCAGAGCAAGCTTTTAATTGATTCCACTCTCTCCTGCACATCCTACTGCAAGCTAAGTTTGGGAGACTCTGAGTGGTTTCATCAGAGCTCCTGAGATCACACGATCATTTGCTTCCCATTCACCAGTATATGATTTGTATCCTCTGAAGGCAGTGACTCACTCCATACACCACACTGGGACATGTTCTTCTATCTTCTTGCTTGCACAGACATGAAATGCCCTTTTTTTCTGTGTACACTGGTTCCAGAGATATTTTTATGGGCCAGCTTTTAGCCTGCAGGTCAGTCAGGTTTTATTTGAGAGTTTTCCTAACTCCTTCCAGGATCAGAGGTTTCTTCTAGCCCTCAGGGTAGAGGTTGTTTCCCATCTGCTCTTGGTGGAATAGAAAGAAGCCTCCTCTGTAGCAGCTTTTTGCTCAGAGCTGACCTATTCAGAGCTGTCTTATCTCTGTCTAGAGATATCTCAGTGTTACATCTTCTCACTTTGTAAACATATGAATTTTTTTGTTTGTAGCTTCCAGATATATGTGCCCCTAACTGGGATCTGGGAATTAAGATGAATTCTTTACTCTTTGGATATTGCCACCAGCAAAATTTTATCTGCGTAAACAAAACCCTTTCACCTTATTTGAATCACACATCTGTTCTGTTATAGTGATTTTACCTAATATAAACCAGTATAGCTGAATAAGCAATTCTATTGACCAGTGCATGGGAGAAATAATTTTGCTGAGAGGCTGGTTTCCAAGCTTTCCTTGTTTCCCTTGGTTCCTGGAGAACTAATAAGACAAAAAAATATAGAAACTTTCCATTTGTCACTCAGGCAGATACAGTCCTGAATGCACAGCCTTTTTGAGTAAAGAATGCCAATTTACACAATTTTTTCAGAGCACTACTACTTACCCTTCAGAAAGCATTGAGGAATGTTTGCACTTACATGGTGTAATTAAATTTTGGGAAGTGAATGTTGTGCTTATTGGCACAGTGAAATCTTCAGAACTCCTCAGAAGCATAGGCCAAAAAAGAAACATCAAATTAACTAACTTCTTTTACTTAAATACATCAAAGTTATGCCACTATACTATTACCTGGGAAGCTGTCAGTGGGAGGAATATGTTGCTAAGAATAACAGGGAGTTAGGTGGCTCAGGAGAGCAAGAAAGATATGGGTGGTTTTCTTAGTTTTGGGTATCAATTGTTCTCTCTTTATAGCACTTGTTTGTGTGGGCCAAGCCTAAACCAAGTCTCTAATTACAGCTGAAATATGAACAGGAGGCTTCTGATATAAATCTTGCTATAGAATAGTAGTGAGAATTTACACCATTTGACAGCTGCTGATCTCTGCCCCATGAATTGGCAGTTTCACTGCTGCTTCCCACAGCCATGTGGTCACTTACACCAGAGCTGCACCAGCAAAAGGGTAAGGATCAGGAGAATTTGAATTTCCATCAAGACACCCATTCCAAGGAGGAAAATCAATCTTCCAAGCAGTCATCCTTGTAAAGGACAGTGCTCCTAAACAGGAAATATTTTTCCTATCATTGCATTTTGAGCAATGCCTTGCACCAGAGATGTGTGATGACAAACAGCACATTAGCTGAATGATGTGTAGCTTCCATGAGGGACTTCTCGTGTCTTCTAAACCAAGTTAATGAATGAGATTTAATTGCAAACCAAATGAACCTTTGTGGATGCTACGTGAGCAGGAAAGTCACTGAATAGTTCACTGTGTAACACTCAAGACATTAATTATGTGTGTTAATTTTTAAAGAACTAAAAATTAATGAACCTGTTACAGGAAACTGTTGATCATCATCCACTGGGGAGCATCTGGAACCTGACCCAAAGATTTTCTGAAAAAGGTGTTACAAAAACCAGTCCTTCAGCCAGCTAATCCAGCAACAGTGCCCTGCCTCAGGCAGAAATGAAGAATCCAAAATAAAAGAACCTTCTTGCCAACATGCAATTGTTCAGCTCCTGCCATAACTAGCAGGAAGGAAAAGGAGGCCTCCTGTGTAGTTCATGAGATTTACCTTCCAAAGGAATTTGGTCAATGAAGACAATCATGGGTGTAACCAAAGCCCCACATTGCTACCTCAATATCTCAACCACATGTCAGAGCTTCCTGGGCTCTGACCTTGGTATTGTTCTGGTAGAAAATAAACACTCAGCTTGCTTTTTTAGTGATTCCTCCATTTTTTATTCTTGCCAATGGAACTTGTGAAGGAGCTTTATACATCAGAGGTTTGGACCAAACCTCTCATCCATTATTTTTGGTGCCTGTAGTGACCAGCTCCTGGCATGTTAGAGGAAGGTTAGGGAACAAGGCAGAATGTGTCAGCTGTGCAATGTAATTGAAAGCAAAACTCCCTCAGTAACATCCCAGCAGGAGCCTACACAGGGTGACATTTCAAAATGACTGGCAGTCACTGAAACTTTATAACAAACCCTTAGGATTTCATTAACTCAGGAAGCTCATGCATATCTTTCCCGGATACTGTATGAACAATTACAGCCTTCCTGTTGTTGGACAAAGCCTTTTTCAGACCATAACTCTGTCCACATGAGAAGGGAATGGAATTTGCTCTCAAGTGCTGAAAAACCTCAGCAGAAGGAGCTCTAGGAGGCATTGTGGGCACTGGAGGGGACCTGGCAGTGGAAAAACTGCTCTGTTTCTGCAGAAAACCCTAAATCACAGAGAAGATGAGATAGAAATGTAGAAACTTATATGTATCTTATATTTTATACATATGGGCTTGTAAATGAGCTAATGAAAGTGCTAATTGACCTAGTTTCTTATGCATATATTTCAAAGCTGTCTGAGAGGAACTAAAATTCATTACAATTCACTTCTTTAGAGTATCAATTCCATAATTTCAGTTGAAATAAAATAGTTTCAGTTGAAATAATTTTTTTTCATTCTTTAGCTGCTACAGACTAGAAAGACAACATTTTTATGTTGGATATTGTACAGTCATGGAGTTACAACAAAAGATGGCTACGAGGCCCTTCCATCCTACTCTAGGTCACAGCAGCATTGTTCCATGGAGTCCTTCTCCTAGAGTTTTCTTATCTCACTGTTTGAGATTGCCAGCATTGAGGCTTTCATGATCTGTGTAGGGAGAATGAAGAGATTGTTCTTTGGCCTGAGGAGGATCCCCAAACATCAGCCTGCAGCACAAAGCACAGACAACGATTCTACCCCACGGGGAAGTGAAATAAACCTCAATGTGATAAATGAGCCCACAGAGAACTTCCACATTTTCTTTGCAGAAGAAAACCCCACATTAGGAAACTTTTTTAAAAATTATTTCAGTCCCTGATTAAAGCTCTCTTACGTGGATGCATTTTTCCTTGACATTTGAATTAATGAGCCAAATGTCTCCAGTGAATTCAAGATGAGCCTGCGACACCTAAAGCTGTTTCTATGGCAGCTGCATGATGGTACAAACTGGAGGCTATGGCTTCACTGCAGGATCATACAGCAGGGCAGCTTGGTAGAAGTCAATTATTTGGGTATTATAATGAGTGTGGCTGTGAAGGAAAGAACTGGTTTACATACGTGAGGTCTATAAGTGCCTAGGCAGAGGGAGCACCTTAAAATATCATGACATTGTCAATGTATCTTTCAACACAAAAACAAATGTAGATATGTCTTTCACTCACTTAGGGAGGTTTTCCATGGATTCCACAGGGAACTCCTGACCTTACAGGTTGTTAACAGTTGCATTATAATTCACACATTGTCCTGTTTGAATTCTTGTAAAGAAACAAGCTCTTACTCAAGGGTTTTCTGCCACTTAAAGACAGTTCCAACTTGTCCTCCTCAAATGTAAGACAGGGAACTTGACATTTCAGATTGTTGCAGCTTTCTATAGGAGGAAGCCTGCAGAAGGAACTACCCAAACCATGGTCCTGCCACACCTCATCAAGCCTTATTTAGCCCTTTGCTTGGGTCAACAGTGCTTGTCATTGTTTGGGCTGAGGGTGAAGTAATTTCCTTCACCATTTTATATGAAGTTTCCTATCTGGGTCTGGTGATAGATTGAGAAATCAAGGGTTTCAGCTAGAAGTTTAACTCAACAGCATGAGCCAATTAAACAAGGATGTAAAAGTGGGCAGAAACCTGAATTCTGAATGTTGAACTGACATTAACTGAAGACTTGCCTGCATTGGTACAATGTATTCTGCTGTAACCCAGATCCTGTTGCTTTTGTGAGCCACGTCCTTCACTGGTACTTACTAGGCTGTTAACATCATCCTCTCCTGTCAGAGCCTGTGAGAAGTGGCTAGAAACTGTCTGGACAAAACAGAAAAGCCAAATAAACCCATAAGAATAAAACTTGTCAGCTTCTTTGTACCATTCTTGAATAAAAGGCACTCCAAGATAAAAGTCAGATGGACATTTTTAAGTAGGTGAGAGAATTTTTGAATGAGACACGTCAGCTGGATCAAACTCTGCCTTGGTTTCACTTTCACAGCTTTTGGCTTTGAATTGATGTACACAAGAAGAGAATTTCTATTTTCCCATCCTAAATGACACAGACAATGTGGGGTGAGATCCTGACCCTTCAGATGCCATATGGGAAACAGCATTTATCTGCAACAGGCCTTGATGTCATCCAAAAATTTTCCACCATGCTGTGTTGCTGTGCATCTAGACTCTGACTTTTTCTGTCACAAATGGTAGTGTCCTGGCCATGTTGTTTTTCTTTAAAAGAGCTTAAGAAACCCACAGGTTTTAATAGAGTGACTATTTTTATGCCTTATGCTGATTGCTTCAAAAACCTTGGCCTAACATTTTTACTTTCTCATGAATTGAATGTGTTAAGAAGGAAGGACACCTCTGTTCCAAAGCTGACAGGAATGTCACCCAGCTCATCTAACTCATAAAAGCACTGTCAAGTTTGAAAAACTATTGTATGTTCAGAAGATACTTTCTGCATTACATAAAAGTGATATAAAAGTCTTGCTTTGAAAAACAAGCCACAAGCACTTGCACCAATTCAGGTTAACAACAGACTTTTCTGGATGGAGATAAAATAGAATCTGAAGAACAAAAATACAAAGCAACTGATCAATGTTCCTTTATTTATATCCTCTATTTTGACAGCATTTCAGCCTTTTCCTCCTGGAGAACAGTGCTTTGGGATAACAATGTTGTTGGAAAGTGGCAGTGGGAACCCAGCTCTGAGTAGCAGAAGGTGGGCACAGAACCTTAGTAAGGCCACTTGGATTTCCTGCAGACTTGATCCTTGGTGCGATTGGGATCAGCGTGCGCAATGTCCTGGCCTGCTGCCCTCCCAGGAGAATGAAACCAACTCCACAAACTTCAGCAGACTTTGTTCAGCAAACTTATCACTGCGAACAGCCCTTGCTTGGCAGCACAGAGCAAAATTTGCCCTTTAGAGGCAATCAATTATGGCACATTCCTAAAACATCTTATTGTTCTTGGAATCTGCTGCAAGGGGTGACTGACCATTTCATCTGACCTTGAACAGGAGGTTCTAAAGAGCAGGCTCTAATCTCAGAAACACTGCTGTGAACCTGAGACCAATCAGTGGAGTTATTTTGGATTTTTCAGACAAGAAACAAAACCAGACGGCATGGCAAGGAACAAAACTGTGAGTGTTTTCTAGAGAAAGCTGAGTTAACTCTGCCCAACCAACCCCTCCTTGTTAAATAACATGCTATGCCACACTCCCACCTTGGAGGATCCACAGCCACATCCACCCTCCAAGGTGGTCTAACACCACATCAATGGCCTTGTTGCTGCTATGGCATCATCTCTCCTCAGTAATGCCAGACTTTGCCAGTCTGAAGTTATGCTGGGACAACTGGGGCTAAATGGATGGAAGCCAGCATCAGGCCAGCCTCCTTCTGGGCCTGACTCTCCATCCCCAATACTTCACACCAGTGCAAAGAAGGTGTATCACTCTTCTGGGCTGGGCAGAACACACACCCACTCCACAGGGCAGGCAGTGCCAGGCAAGGCACACACACCAGTGCAAAGAAGGTGTATCACTCTTCTGGGCTGGGCAGAACACACAGCACCCACTCCAGAGGGCGGGCAGTGCACAGGGCCGTGGTGTTCTGGGGCCACAGAGATGTCCAGCTTCTTATCTCATATTACTTGGGACACCATTCTACCTGTTCTTAGACTGGTTTTATATCAGGTGCTGGGACCAAAAAGGAGTGATGAAGCCACTGCTCCTCTCAGCAGAGCCAGCAGAGCTGGTGGCACATACCTTGGCCGTGCCTCTCTTGCTGCACAGCCACACAAAGCTGCAGCTGCTCAGTGTGTTCTGAGCCAGCTGTGTGCATCTGGTCCAGGGCAGGAGAGGTGTGAGGCCACCACTGACACTGTACACACAGGAGGTGGGGCTGGAAACGTGCAGAGCTCTCAAGGTCCGACCTCCAGGCTCAGAGTCTGAAAGACACAAGTTTGGATAAGAATCCATTAGACCCAGATTTAAAGGACCAGGATCCTCTCATGCAACAGAATACTCTCATAAAGGCACAAAATATACAAACCCTACAACACAGATCTAATGTTTTTCTTCCAATCCTTTAGTACTTTAAATCACTTACAACTGTAGACATGACAAAACATTCAGAACCAGACAGACTTCTTGGCTGTTGGTATTGTCTTAAATGCCTCAGCTCACAGGAACAAGCCACATTCTGCACAAACAGGCTTAATTTTTAAAGACATCTGTGACCACTCCTTAGGCTTTAGCTGACCACAGTACAGCTGCAAGTGGGAAACAGAAACAGGCTGGGGATGCATTGAGGTACCAGAATAGCCATAAAGAAATTAATTTTTAATTTAACACAGTCAGACCTATGTGTACATACAGCACAATATTTATAATAACAGAAGCAAACAAACAGGAGGGGTCAGATTCCTTGAGCAAAGCAGTATTGTCTCCTCTTCCTAAAAGCTCTTGTTTTCACACTAACATCTTCCATCTGTCGGGATCTGACCTCAGCAGCCCGGCCGGACGCGTTCATCCTCTTGTCCGTGGTGTTCCCATATAAGGTGATCTCTCTTCGGGGAGCAGGATTCTCATTCGCTCAGGTTTCGTCCCACTCGGATTTGCTGCTCTCTGTGGTCGAGCTCTGTCACAACTTTGCTCGGCAGCATCTGCACAGCAGTGGCTGCAAAGGGAGGAGAGAGTCAGGAGGGAGCAGTGAAGCTGTGCCTGCAGATCCAGAGAGCTCTGGATTGTTTATTTCCATTCTCTTTCCTCCACAAGTCACCTCTGCAGGATGTCTTTGCAATAAGCAGCTTCCACAAGCCATTCCCAAGCTAAATAAAAGACAAATTCTATCCAGAGAACTGGATGGAACTGTAGAGCTGAACTCTTGTAACAACTCTCATGTCATACTTTCCTTCAAAATCTGTATCACTCTCCATGCAAAATAATTTGGAAAATGCCCCCAGAATTATACAACAAATAAACTGGAACACTGGCCCTCGAGTCTGTAAGATTTGACTCAGATAGCACATCACCCAAACTGAGATAACTTAAGACAAGTTAAGCATAAACAAATCTCAGCTGCTTCCTGTAATATTTACCCAAGGCTGCACTGAGAGTTTATAATCTCTTTCATGTCTGTGAAGATTCTCTTATGATAAAGAGGTCAAGGCACTGAGCTAAGCCTTGATTCTTTTCTTCGAGGCAGTAATTCTGAATATTCAGACACCACTGTAAATGCCAAGCAGCATAGGGGCAGCCAGGGGGCTGCATGCATGGAGAGCACAAACCTGGTGGAAGAAAGGATCATGACAACATAAAACTTTAAGGATGACATGGGATCTCTCTCACTTTCCCCAGACTGGGAAGTCCCATAAAACTGGGCTCCAATGTGTGATTTTGCTCCTGCCTCCAATCACTTGAGCTTTCAAACACAGCAACAAGTTCAGCCAGGCCAGTTCTAACAATGTCTGGTCATGGAGATCTCCTTTCCCAGAGTCAGAACAATCAGACTTCGTGGGTTTCCATCTCACCATCTCTTTTTTCTTCTTATCTTGGCATTATCTGAAGTTTTCATCCTGCCTTTTCTTTAAGGTTACAGAGACATGAGAAGAGGGGAATGTTCCTTTCCTTCTGGGAAGGTGAGAAGGCTGGAATAGTCTCAATAGAAAGCAAAATCTCAGAGCAGCAGCCTCCCAGTGCACCCAGCCCAGATCCCTCCACCCTCACCACAAGTGCCTTCCCCTCAGCACTGAGGAAGAAAGGATGAGTATCAGTGTTTACAGAAACAGTGTTTCTCCAGGATTAAGTGGGGGGAACTCACAGGCACCTCCATCAGAAATACCATTCTCATCTGCTCTCTCTGTGTTCTATGTGCTCAAAATACTCATCGGAGAAAACAGTAACTGATACCAGGAAAGCATGACAAAGGAAAGCAGATCTCTTCTGGGAACTTGTAGGTAAATACAATTCCTAAAGGTCAGTATATGGACTGAAAGCACAAAGGAAACATGATCTGGTTTTAAAGTTCAAATCCAGGAGTCAGGAGACTTGGATTATGTTCCTGGCTCTGCCACAGCTCTCATGCCCAACCACAAGGCACCCATCCATCCCTTTTGTCACTTCATTTAACCAGTTAAGAGCTCAGACACCAATCAGTGTCACTTCCCAGCCTTCCCGTGAAGACCAATAAATTTTATGAAATTATTGCATGAAGCATTTTCTGTTTCTCAGAAGGAAAAGAGGAGCTAATCTAAGTTAGTCGCAGTGCTTAGAATTGCAAAGTATTACATTTATGGTTGCCACTTACTGAGTCAAATTCTGCAGTGATTTACAACCTGTGCATTTCAATTGGCACCAATTTAACATGACTCACTGCATATTTTAATCCATCATCTGGGGACTCACATGGGATTCTAAGACTATCCAAGAACCTAATTGAAATAGCAAAGAGGCTCCAAAATCCAACTATTTCAGGCCTAAGCATGGCTTTTTGAAGGATCTGCGAGAACAAACTTGCAGACTGAGAGATTCCATGAGCAAGTTTGACTTTAATTTATAGTCTGGTTCGGATTGTTTGGTGTTTTTGAAGCTGCTGTCCTTGTTTCTGATTTATACACTATGTATTTATTGCTACTTTGAGGCACGCTGACAACTGATGTTCAGCCTCCTCGAGGACATAAATTTGCCATTTTTCCCAGGTGAAGCCTGGGCCCAGGACTGGCTGTTCCTGTTCCACACGGATCCTCTGTGCACCTTTCCATTTCAAAGGAATTAAGTAACCATTCACCTGACACGTACATCAGCCACACTCGACATCCCTTTGTGCTGTCAAAGGCTGCCAGAAATCTTAATTGGGTAACTGCAGCAATCTGTTTGTACATCTCCTACACAAGCGACAACAACCTCCCTCAGAAGGAGCCGCAGAGCCAAGTTTATCCTCCAGAGGCTGAATCTCGGACTATTTCTGCCACTCCTCGCACTTGTTCCGTGAAGGAGCCCCACGAGAGACTCGTCCTGTGCCGTGTCCGCCCCAGCTCCCCTCAGCCGCCATTCCCGGGCTATTCGCGGCGGGAAGGGGATGGGACGGGGCTGCGGGGCGCAGCGGGAAGGACTGACCCGGGCATGATGTGGGGACACCGGGAGGGCTCTCAGTGCGGCGGGCTCGGCGCTGCCGCAGCCGGCTGTGAGGGCAGCGATCCACGATCCGCCACCGGAGCCCGGTGCCGGTCGCTGTCCCGGTGCCGGGGCCGGTCCCCTCACGGTTCGGCCGCGCCCCCTCACGGCCAGGCCACGCCCCCTCACGGCTCGACACCGCCCCGCCACCGTGACCACGCCTCTCAGTGCGAGGCCACGCCCCGTCACCTCCCGGCCCTGTTCGCGCCTCTCGCCGGTATCGCCGGAAGTGACGCCACGCCCGTGTCCTGGCAACCGTCCCCGCGGTAACGGCGCGCGCGAGGCTCCGGTCGAGGCCTCCCCGGCACGGCCCGGCCCGGGCCCGATCCCGCAGCCCCGCCAGGGCCCGACCGAGCCCCGATCCCGCAGCCCCGCCAGGGCCCGACCGAGCCCCGATCCCGCAGCCTCGCCAGGGCCCGACCCCGATCCCGCAGCCCCGCCACGGCCCGGCCCTGACCCCGATCCCGCAGTCCCGCCAGGGCCCGACCGAGCCCCGATCCCGCAGCCCCGCCAGGGCCCGGCCTGCCCCGCTCCCGGTGACCGCCCCCCCGGGATCTGCTGTGTGTGCTCTGCAGAGGTTTCCCCGGGCCACAGCTATGGGTGACCAAATGCAGTTCATTGTTGAGAAGCTCAATCAGGAGCCCTTCAGGAAGAACTACAATCTGATCTCGTTTGACTCCCTGGAGTCGCTGCAGCTGCTGCAGCTGCTCAGTGATGTTCTGGGCGAGATTGACCCCAAGGTAAGGAGGGCACTCAGACCTCCTGAGGTGGCCTGACACTGGAATTTGCTTTTATTTAAGTCTGGCTCAGTATAGTCATGCGGCGTGTTTGTCTCACCAAAAGAAGCTTGTGTGAATCTTCCAGGAAATAAATGTGCTGGCGAGAATCCTTCCTGCCTGTACGTCTGAGTGCTCTTGGCAAACCAGCAAAGGCTCCTTGGGCAGGGCGGCAGCGTCCCCCTTCCCCAGAGGCTGGTGACGATGTTTTTCCTGTGAAATTAAAGATCTTGGTTCATCCTGACAATCGTGTTTGGTCAAAGTCAGGCTGTGTCCTGCACGCACCCAGGGCAGGAGCTGATGGAGAGCTGAACCTCATGACTGTGCTGTTGCAATGGAAATTGTATCCCACTCCTTGGAGGCTGCCAAAAGTGTGTGTGAGGTCAGAAGGGACCATTCATACACCTGGGGTGTGGATACCTGTGCCAGGATATCCGACTTCCAGGGTGGATGTGATCAGTGTGACTGCACAGATGGGATCCCATGAGCCAGGAGAAGATATTCCTGGAGTAAATTGACAGGAAAATCCATTAGAAGAGAATTGAAGTTTGGTGATTTCAGGGATGTTCTGTACAGACCATCTCACTATTGTCTGGTAAATTAATAAAGTAAATTCTTTCAGTGTTGCCAGATAATTAACATCACTTGGACAAACAAGTTTATAAAAATAATAATAATAATAATATAATTGGTGGTAGGAAAAAAAGATAGTGTTATCCTAAAAATCAGTAATTAATTATTAAATCGATTGTTTTGTAATAGTTACAATAATTTTTACTATATGAATAATAATAATAAAGAATAATTACTTATTTAATTTTAAAACCTGTTCAGCATGCTATCGACATCAGAGAGGAGCTGCCGGAACAAACAGCTAAAAGAATGCTGAGTCTGCTTGGAATCCTGAAATACAAACCTCCAGGGACTCTGTCAGACCTGTGAGTACCTTTTTGCCTACAAATCATGTTAAAACTTCTTTTTTGGCTTATAAGGTACTGACCTTTAGTTCAGGTGAGCGCTGCTCCAAAGTCCCCATGGATGCTGGGAGGGGATCCCAGGTGTGGCTCCAGCTGGGCTCTGCTCCCATATCCCCGGGGATGTTTTGGGGTCCCAGCTGGGCTCTGTTCCGTGTCCCTGTGGATGTTTTGGGGTCCCAGCTGGGCTCTGTTCCGTGTCCCTGGGGATGTTTTGGGGTCCCAGCTGGGCTCTGTTCCCATATCCCCAGGGATGTTTTGGGGTCCCAGCTGGGCTCTGTTCCGTGTCCCCGGGGATGTTTTGGGGTCCCAGCTGGGCTCTGTTCCGTGTCCCTGGGGATGTTTTGGGGTCCCAGGTGTGGCTCCAGGTGGGCTCTGCCTGCAGTGGCGGCTCCGGCCGGCAGAGGGCGCTGCCCGGTCCCGGTCCCGTCTCACCTGTGCCAGGTGATCCCAAATCCCGCGCTCCCCCGCTCTGCCGGCATCCCCCAAGGCTGTCACAGGACACGAGGAGCTGTCACTGCTGGCTTTATCCTTGTAGTGTGCTACGGGGTTTTTATCTGACTCAAGGTAGAAGAATCGGGAGCCTGAACTGCAGACTTCCAGCTCAGAATGGGTTGGGTTGGAAGAGACTTTGAAGATCACCTGTTCCAACCCCTTTCACTATCCCGGGTTGCTCAGAGCTCCATCCAGCCTGGCCTTGGACACTTCCAGGGATGGGACAGACACAGCTTCTCTGGGCATCCTGTGCCAGGGCATCAGCACCCTCACAGGGAAGAATTGCTTCCTGATTCAAAGCCCTCTGTCACTGTGAGGCCATTCCCATTGTCCTGGTAAAAAGTTCCTCTCCATCTCTATTTTGTGCTCCCTTCAGGTTCTGGAATGTGCAAATCCTTCAGCCTTATCTCTTCCAGGCTAATCAAACCCAAGCCTCATCATGAGCACTTTCTCTTCTAACAGCATTACGAAAATCATTAGGCAAGTGGAGAAGGAATGTCAAAACATTGCAGATTTTTTGTTCCAAGCCAGCATAATTCTTTTGTTGGAGATTTATTGGCATTTTCTCTTGGTTGCTTCCATACAGGAGTGCTTTTCGCCAAGGGCTGGTTACTGGAAGCAAAACTGTAATTCATCCTGTCTTGCACTGGCTTCTTCAGAGGACCAGTGAACTCAGGACAAGAGCTTACCTGGCACGTTTCTTAGTGAAGCTGGAGGTGCCAGCAGAGTTCCTACAGGATGATACTGTGGCTGACTTCAACAAACAGGTACCATTCCTCATGAATGCCAACAGTGCACGTTAATTAAAGAGCCAGTGGGAGGAGGGATAAATGAATCAGGGAGTTAATGCTGGCATACATGTTCAAGTGAGTTATGTTAAAAGCTTGTTGGAATCAAGGATAAGCAAAGATTCATAATAAAAAGTTGATGTCTTGACCACTTTTCTTCCAATAACCCTGAAATTATGTATTAATAAGTAGCATTGAATTAAAAGGCCTTAAGCCCATTAAACACTGGGTGCCAGATAATGTTCAGAGCCATTTTGGCTTAGACAGACTTTTAGTTCCTAATTTTTGAGCAGGTTTGAGGGTTTTTATTTATGAAATATGACCTGGATATTTTTAACTTTATAGAATTACCACTTCAAACAAGTCCAGAAAATGTTATGACTAAAAGTCGATGTCTCCTAATTGTCCATTGATTGTATTTTTAGCCATGATAGTCCTGTGATAGTATTTGATGCCTAATATTTGTAAGAGTCTTACTCCACTTTTGCTTTAACCATTTATTTTTTTGTGAATAAAGAAAATATTTCTTTTTCTCTGTGCTGATATTCCTACTTATTATGTTCTCACTTCTTTTGTGAGCATTAAATGTTGATTTTAGATAGTCAGACTAGGTGGGTTTGAAATGTAAAACTTGAAGTGAACCAAAGTTTTGGCTTTATTATCTGAAGTACATATTTACTTATTTTTTTCCAGTTTTCTGTGCCTTTTGTTCTGCTAAACCACAGTGTGTTTGAGTGTTTGTAAGAGGTAACTTGATCTGTTAACTCTGCATTAGCAAAGCTGAACAGTCTGACTGAGACTTGACTAAGCCTTTTATTTTTTTGTTACCTCTAACAATATTTGATTTATACCTTGAAATAACTCAGCAGAAGTAGCAGAGAGAGAAAGGAATGCAGATTGTATGTTTTGTTCAGTATGTCACAGTCTTAATGTGTATAAATATCCACCTCCATAATTTCCATTACGTAAGATGTGTTCCTTTTTGGGATTACAGTAATAGAACAATCTCATTAAACTAATACTCTGCTGATTAATCCAAAACTGAAGCTGGGGTAATAAAATGCCTTACTGCAATATAACAGTGCAAATATTTAGATACTAATGAATTTAAACAATTAGCCTGAATTATTTAGATACAGTCTTGCAATGGTGTCTTTTAAGGGAAATTTCAAAAATGAGAGTTCAGACACCTTTTAACACAGTCAAGTTCTATGGGTTTGTAAAATCAAGTTAAAATGAACTTCTGGGAATTACTTATAGAAGATACTCAGCAAACCTGCCACCTTCCCAGCCCTGTTGTGATTTAGACACTGGATTGCCTGCAATATATAATTTAAGTAATAAGCAACTTCAGGCATTAATCTCATTGTTCAGGCTTCAGTGATTTGCTCCCAGGTGCCAGAGATCTCTTTCCATATAGGAACCTGGGTGTTTTTTTGGTGATTTGAGTGTGTCCCTTATTTCAGGTGCATGTGGAGCACCCAAAGGGAAAAGTGAGTTTTTTGTTATGATCCCTCAAACTCTGCTCTGCCTTGTTTGAATCCTGCCATTTGCCTTGAAATTTCATGTTCCAGCAGGGAAAAGTCTTATGGAACTCCTCTTTTGACAGAGGTAGAGGCACACAGAGGAAAACTCTTGGACACCAGCAGTGGGATTGAGTTGCTCAGAGACCACCTGCTCATTTTCGTTCTTGTTAAAGGACTTCCAGAATGCATAAGGGCTACCATGGAAGCCAGCTGCATTCACTCCTGCATTTTGTAACTTGTTCCACCTCATCCAGCCCGTGCATTCCTTGTCACACCATTATTTGTCACTTAATCCAGCTCTTTGTGATTTTATCTTCTCCTTAGCCATTTTATTGCTATTTTTTTTGAATTCTTTCCAGCTTGTCAGTGTGTGCTTGCTACTGAAGCAACCAGAACTGAGCAGAGTGCTCTGGATGCTGCTTCCCCAGGGCTTTAGAGAATGGAGGTGCTGCTTCACTGCTCAGGGCTCTGATGCCTTTGTTTGAACTGGCCTTTGCTGTTGCCATTTGGTATTCACCTGCTCTTTCCAGGAAGTAAAGAATGACTTGATACTC